GCAGAAAAAGGGAAGAAGGTGTTCCCAGGATACAGAGGGAGGGTTATCCTCTGAAAGTCTGACCATCCAGTTTTTGCCTCAGAGAGTGTGACATGCCTCACAGAGCCGTGTCCCTTAGGGATTGCCTTAAGGGTTAAGAACATTATCTCAATCTCTGCACCACTCGGCATAATGCTTGGTGTAGAAGGATTGACTGGAAGACGGTTTATATTGAATTAATTTGTATGTTTGCAGAAGTAAGTCAAGGGGTGATCTTTTTTAAATGTCCTGGGCTCCTTGTGAAACACCCATGTTTATTCAAAAGGTGTATGCTTTTGGACATGCTGTGCTAATTGAGGAGGTCTAACGTAATAGCTGTTCCCTAACATGCAGAAGACTGTGTGAAAATTAGTGTGCTGGTCTGGGTGGGGTCTGGGAAGCGAGGACGGGGCGAGAGCTTTTCAGGGTCAATGGAAGATGGGTCCTGTCCAGCTTGGTGCAGCTCCCTTCTGTCCTATATCTGTCCCATGAATTCGGGGCGCCTTGTCCTTCCCTAACTTCTAGCTCTCCTTGACTCCACCAGATTCGGCTTCTTTTGGGCAGCGTGCTGGTGCAGCTGCCAGGCTCATCTCGTTTCCTTCCTTTCATGGACCGTAATCCCACGCAGTCCTTTGTCCAAACCTCGTCACACATATTCCGTGCAGTCTGCTAGGTAGTTAAGGTGGGAGGGCAAATCCAGCCTCTGTGACTCCATCTTGGCCCTTGACATTTACAGTGAAGCCATGACGTCTGGCAGAGAGCGAGGTCGGACAGAGCGAGGTCAGACGGAAGAAGCCAGAGAATCTGATTGGCTACAGAGTTCTGACTCTTAGCTGTCTTCCTCACAGTTTCTCCTGGTTCTCTGATGAGAGGCGATGGAGCAGATGTGATTTTATTCCCTGAGGATGTCTTAGTGGGTATTTGTCATGTTTCCCGGAAGTGTGGCTCTGTGAGGACAATTTCTCTTGGACTTAGGCTAAGTCCAGCCTTCCCCAAACAGAGGCTGGACCACCATTTAGATCCTGAGCTGTCTTTGAGGCATTGATACAGACATGTGACCTGTGTTCAATCCTCCCAGCCTCCATGGGGGTAATTCAGTTGGGAAGTGAGTGATTCAAGGAGGGAGGTCTGGGCAGAATTTAATGTCTCAGAGCAGATGTTTGCACAAATCCCCCTGCCGCCCCCTGCTCCCTTCCGGTGCAGAAGTGGCGGTGCAGAAGTGGCTCGGGTGGGTGCCTTCGGAGCTGTTTCGTCTGTGCCCCAAGGCAGTAGCGGAAGCCGGGGGCCCTGTGTGGCTGGGTTTTCGGCACTGTGCCTTGACCTTAACCTCAATTCTGTATCATATTCCTCCCTGTAAGTCCTTCTTTTCTCCTATCAGCTGCTCTTATTTAGAAAACTCGTTGTCTTGGTCACGTTATTATGACTGAGTAGCGGATTATCATCAGAGATGTACATGAACAGTTGAATATCACCTTATTAAATAAAGGTCGAATTCAAACAGGTTCCTCTGAGTAGATCAGAGTCCTCGCTTACGTGCCATCAGTGTGCATCATGGGCTGACGCTGAAGACCAGAAAAAGCGAGTCAGGGCATTGCTTACTCCAGGTTTTATCTCTGTTCTTATCAGCTGCGTTAATTTTTCTGTTTGAAACAAAATCTGCTATTAGTCCGCTGATCGTTATTGAATATTTTAATGGCCTGTGTCAGCACGGTAAGTCATATATTTTCTGAACAAGTGTCCAGGCTTTACCCACATTTACGTGGATGGACATTTGTAATCGAGGTATAGGATGTGTTTGGTTGACAAACGGCTTGCTCTAATAGATTTGGGAATAGCATCTGCTTTCGTTAATTTTGTAACTTCTCATTTCTTCATGTTCATTAGCTAAACACGTACCCACTACACTTGTAATTCATTCTTTTGAAAGACGAGCACCCCTGGCATGGTGCAGAGACGAGGACGATTTTTATGGAGAAATGCTCACGCTTTGAAAGCGGTGTGGGTGGTGGCGGCTTATCGTGAGAACCCTGAGAGCCTCTTAAGTGTGTCAACTGACCAGGATGCTAGCAGAGAAAGCGGCTCCCAGGAGTCCACTAGATGAGATTTGGTCATAGAAGGTAGAAAACGCTGTTTTAACAAAGTACCATTAACCCTTTGTCTTTTTAACAGAAAATAACCTATTCCTGGCCTGTAGTCAAGAATACATCATTTGGAGTCTCTGCCGGGAATTGCTTAGAGCACAGGTCAGACATTCGACATCTGAATGGTACACCCCCTGCATCACCAAGAATTACCCACTGAGGTTTTTACGGATAGGCAAGAAGCTACTTTGTTGTGTAAACCTTTGAAAGAGGATGAGAGAGAATGAAAGTAAATAAATGGATGAGCTATGAACATAATAAAAAGTGAGACGTTGAACTAGCTGTTGTTTACCCATGCAGGAAATTGAGGGTGTTTTAAAAATAATGTCTAAATTCAAAACCAAGCCGTTATAACGGGAAGCGAAAGCTTTGTTGAGCTTTTTTTGTGTGTGTTAAAAGCAAAATTGTAGATAACAGAGAATAAATTCGCTGAAAGGGACCTTAGATGACCATCGAGTACAATATTCTTCTTTTGCCAATAGGGGAAACTGAGGCCCTGACAAGAAAGTGGCCTGCTCAAGGCCACTTGTTCAGTAGCGAGAGAGGGCAAGTTGAGAAGGCCACCTGGTAAGGGACAGAGCACTGTGACAACATTAAGACTGAGAGGCTGATAGCTCTATGATGTGTTCGTTGTGTTGAGTGAGAATCTGGGAGACGTTTAGAAGTCAAGAAGCACCCGGCTCCTCAGCTTGCAAAGAGCAAGTTGAACAATATTGTCCGCTGGTCAAATTGTTTGACTCTGAGAAGCTGCCCGGGTTTTCGTACTCCTGAACGGGTGTCCTCCCATTGAATGTGGGACCTAGACGAGCCTTGTGACATCAGGTTTACTGCACTGACAGGCGCCTCAGTGCTGAATCAAGATTCTAAAAGGCAGGGTTGAAACAAACAGGACGAATCCGGCTGCAATCGAAAAAATCAAATGCTTAGATGCAAGAAGAGAAGACCTGATGATGATAATTCATATTTGCAAAAACAAAAACAAACAACCTTCCCCCTCCCAAACAAAAACAGCCTGAAGTTTTAGTCGATTCAAGCTCAGGCTTCACAAGAGTGTGATGTGCGTACTGAATAAACTAAAAGGAAGTTTAGGCTGAATTAGTGAGGCTCCGGGTCCAAGAGACCCAGAGGAAGGAACACTTAGGGTGAATGAACGCAAGTTCCATACAGAGGGAACTTTCCTGCTACTTTCTTGTTACCTGCTGAATTTGGGCTGTCAATTTGGTGTATGTTTCTGGACGGGCGTGAACACCTCAGTGAATATCTGTCAGGGATGCTGTAAACTGGATTCTGCTTTGGACTAGATGTCCCCCAAGCTCCTCTATAACTCAGTTGTGAGTCCAAAGGCCAGCATAACTCTCCAATTCCTACCCCTTACCGTGTGACTTTAGATAAGTTACTTAACCTCTCTGAGCCTCTCTTTAAAAAATCCCTGGCTAAGAAAAAATATTTAAAAATATTTTTTAATATCAGGATTTAAAACAACCAATTTAAGACATGCACAGCAAAGCCCCTGGTGTGGTACTTGGTACATGCTAATTTTTCAAAAGTTTGTGTCTTCAGAGCTTTCCATTCCTCCATGTGTAATAAATAACTCATTCAGGGATGAGCATGTGACCCCATAACAGCTAATGAGATGTCCTGAGACTTTTGTTGATGCTTCTCGGAGTTATTCTTGCTTAATGGACTTAAGGCTGGGAAGATAAACTCCTTGGACATTTTATTATGTCTGAACCTGGATATTACAGCCAGGACAGCTGAATTCAGAGTTGAGAGATGGAGGGAACCAGAGCCATGATGACTATATCTGGGCCCCGAATCCAGCCATGCCTGAAGCCTATTGGCTTCTGTACTTGTCATTTATGTAGTAAATTAATTCCATTTTGCTAACTGCAGTCTGGGTTTGGTGTTCAGTCACATGCAACAAAAGAATTGTGACAGATGCAGTCCTCGAGAGATATTCTCACATCTTTTTGGATTTATTCTTATTGTTTAATGGGAAGATTCAGCCTGGCAGCTGCTCTTTCCTCCCATGCACAGAGCAGTGGAGCCACCGAGAACGCTGCTGTCTTTGACCATCCCTGCTTGGAGCTTGGGGCCGTCAACTTTCATACATCAAGTGCATGTTGACCTGAAAAGTTTACTTACTTTTTGGGACTCCTGGCTTAGAGATAGTACCTTTAAAATCACAGGTGCTGCTTCTTTAGTTCTCCCTCCAGGTGCCAAAAGCCTGATCAATATCGAACACCTGAAACGTCTTCAAACTTAATTTAGCATCTGGCCCGAGGAGGTAAACGCCAAGTCTGGGTCTCGTGACAAGCAAAAGTTGGAACCAAAACAGAAATGCTGAGAAATGCTTAGTCACCATGTATATTCACAGGAATTTTTCTTCTTCTTTTTTTTTTTTATGTTAGCTTGCCGCCCTCATCTACTTGCTAATTAAGTTAACCTTGTCAAAAGCCTGTGAAAAATTAGGTTAGGACTGAAGTAAGATGTATTGAATCTGTAGTGCCATCATTGGAAGAGGTTTGTCAAAGTCACTGTTAGAGCTCTTTCTGCTGGCAGCTTGTCTTAAAGAACTCTGGAATTATCCTCATGCAAAGAGGTGAATTGACCTGATCCGGGAGGTCGGTGGCCCAGAACGGGAGCAAGAGCTTCAGGCTCCTGTTGGCTTTTGCAGATGTCTGTCTTTCAATGCCGGTGTCTTCTTCAGAGGAACCTCTTCTCGGTGGTCGTGTTGCAGAGTCCCTCTGAAGATGCAGCAAGCACCCCACCCAACATTTGGTTCATGAGGTTGATGACTCTCCGTGCACCAGAGAACTTGAAAGAAGGCTTAGTACTCACTCTGAGGACCTCCAGGAAGAGCTGAGCAGACACCAGCAGGTCCAGGTTGACTTGGGCAGAGCAGAGGGAGTAGGTCTGAGCCTTTGTAATAAGTGGCCAAGGGGTGAGACTGCAACAAAGTTCCCAAGTATGGGAGGTTTAAATTTCAGCTTTTGCCAAAAAAGACATAAGCTCACGTCTTATCAATCTATACACCTGTAGGGCCAGAGGGGAAGGGAGGCTGAGACTTAAAAGAGGTCATCAGTGCAAGATCAATAATGAGGTTAGACTCTTTATCACAATTAGATGACACCTTACCCAAAGGAAGGGTATTAGTCTCCCAGGGCTACTGTGACAAAATACAACCAACTGAGTACCTTACAAGGACAGAAATGTGTTCTCTCAGCGTTCTGGAGGCTGGAAGTCAGAAACCAATGTATCAGCAGGGTTGGTTCCTTCTGGACTTTCTGAGGGAGAATTTATTCCATGTCTCCTCTTAGCTTCTGGTGACCACTGGCAATCCCTGGGGTTCCTTGGCTTGTGGCTGCATCCCTCCAACCTCTGCCTGCATCTTCACGTGGCCTTCTCTGTGTGTCTTCTGAAAGGACATGCTTATTGTTCAGGGCCTGCTCTAATTCTGCATAACCTCACCTTCATCCTGGCTTTGATCACATCTGCAAAGACCCTATTTCTGAGCGTCTTGGTGGACGTAAATTTGGAGGACACTATGCAACTCAGTACACAAAGTTAAGGCACTTTGTTACCACATTTAAAAAATCACACTCTTTGTCACATTTATTAGGTTGCTGAATCTCCGAACCCCAAATTGGACTGGAAAGAAACTCCACAGGCCCCTGGGGTCCCCAGGAAAGGTAAGCTCCTTAAAGAGGGCTGAGACCCAATGGAAGGGTTTGCACAGAGGCAGAGTGGAAGGGAAGACGGGGATGCCATCCGCTCTGCACTCACCTGGACGGGGGCCGGGGACCGTCAGTGACCTTGGTGGCCTGTTGCCTCAGTAGGGACATGGACTGAGTCAGAAAAGGCAGAGATGTCAGGGGAAGCATCACGAAGCCCAGCTGGGAAGCTGGAATGTCTTTCTGTTGTTTCCCGAATGGCCTTGCGGCAAGGGCTTTAAATCCAGTTCTCGAGGCAAGTTCCCCATCAGACCAAGATTTGATGCTGACGTGCTCGATTTAAACTTTTTCCGTGGCCTGACTGGCTTCGGCGATGCCACCCGTTGTTCCTTGTACCAGTGAGCTCAGGCAGCCATCGTGAACTAGTGCAGACCCGGGGATTAAGCAGCAGGGATGGATTTTCTCACGGTTCCGGAGGCCGGGATTTTGCGATCGTGGCCCCGGCAGAGTTGGCGTCCTCCGAGGCCTCTCTGCTTGGCTTGCAGATGGCCGTCTCTCACTGTCGTCCATTTGTGCGTGTCTGTGTCCTCATGTCCCCTTGTTTTAAGGACAGCAGATTAAGGGCCACCCTAATAACCTTATGTAACTTAATTATCTTATTAACCATCTTCTCACAACTGGGGTTTAGGACTTCAATATATGACTTTGAGGGGCACATTCTCGGCCCCCCAAAACAATCCGTCCACACTTGGGTGCTGAGTGAGCCAAGCGTGCGCCCTTCTCGTTGACACATTTCTCACTCTGGAAGTTATGACTGTCTTTCAAGGACACGTTGACGTGAGATGGCAGAGCCACGAGACGAAGCCGGAATGAGACCTCAGAATCATGACCCGACTAAGGCAGGCCCGAGCTCTTGGTCTCCTGGCTCCAGCGGCCGCCAGCCCTGGTCTGGGTCCAGGCAGGCAGACGTGTGAGGGGATCTCTTGCCCTGTGTTTTCTGAATCCCTCTCCTCCACTCACCCTTCTCTGTGTCCTCGCCCCATGCTTCAGCTTAGAGGCCTTCCCTTCCTCTGTCCTCCATGTAGCTGGCATCCCCGCCGACTGCTCTTCCCCCTCCCCCACCCCACCCCCCGCTCCCAAGAGCTTCCGGCCCTCACCCCTCAAGCCCATCTCTCCTTCTAGGGCCGGCCTGGCTCCTGTCTCTGCTGCCCAACACTAGGTGGACGACGGCCAGCACTGCCCTCCACCCCCTCTTAAACAGTCTCCTTCTCTTGGACCTGCCACCACCTTAGAGAGCCCCCTGGTACTTCTTAACGGAACTGTTTTCCCTGTTAATCTGTTTTCCAAGAAGTTTTGCATTGTGCCCCTTACATGGTACCGTCCATAAATGCCAGTTGCATGAGTGGATGTCAGTAACATCCATTGGTACAGCACTTCACCATGTCAGAAGCAGAGGTGTGTGAGTGCTGGCTTGTATCGGCTTGCAAGAGCTGATGGTTAAATTTTCAGAAATTTGCAAGCTGGTTGTTAAATGCAGCCATTAGTAAATATTAAATTATATAAACTTACAATTAAATGAATGACAGTGAAAATAAAGGTAATAAATACTCAGAAACCATCATAATCTAATTCACTACATTTACTATTAATGCTCTAGAACTTATTTAACTTATTTACGTCTGTTTTATCTATATCCCAGAAATTATATGTTGGTCCGTGAACGAGCATCACTCCCAGTTCTGAATCAGCGACATCGTGTTGGCAACTTGAAATGGTATGTGCGCTAACAGTACAGAAATTGACAAATGCTCTAAGTCAAGAAGTTTTATCTCAGGGCACGCGACTGGTCATAAGCCTAATTTGATCTTCAGAAAAACAGCAAGATAAAAGCAGAACAGGTATTATTACCCTCAATTTACTAACAGGGGAAGAGAGACCCAGGAGTTACCTAGCTTACCCAAGTGGACCTTCCGAGTCTTAGCTGCATATTTTTCATATATATATATATATATATATATATAAATAAATGATTGAGTTGCTTCTTGATCTTTTGGCTAAGATCAACTGTGGTATGATAATGAAATTAATAAGTAATGGATTCTTGAATTAATCTGTACTTTTTCTATAAAGCATTACTTTTTTAGAAAAATTATGGCCGAAATATAGGTTAAATTAGGGTTGCCAGGTAAAATACAAGATGCATAGTACAATTTGAATTTCAGAAAATGATGAAAAATTTTCTAGTGTGAAAATGTTCCAGATATTGCGTGGAACAGATCTATATTTAAAAAATATATCGGCCGTTTCACTGAAACTTAATTTTAACTGGATGTCTTGCATTTTTATTTGTTGAATCGGGCAACCTTAATTAATACTATTTATATTTACAAATTAACAAAAGGGAAGATTTCTTGTTACAGTCCTATTATTTTTTAAAGTATATGATCTTCTTTATCATTTAGTCAGTTCTATCTTTCAGATTTTACTAGGGTCAAAATCAACTGCTTAGGATTGCTTGCGATAACCCAGCCACTGGGCTAGTGACTTTGAACTCCCTATGAACTTTGACCTAAAAGAGACTGCCAGTCTCCTTTTTGACTTTTTAGACATCACTAGAACAGTCTAAAACAAAACAGAACCGTTTAATATCATAGCTTTCCTGGTCCATTCGTGTCCCTTTTATAACATGGTTTAGCAGCCATTTGACCCCCGGTCCTGTCTACGCCTGGAGCTTACTCTGGCAGCATTTCTGTTATTGCCAACATCTTTTTTTTAAAGTTTCAAACTTCTTGGGAAAGTAGTCCTCAGACTCTTAGGTCTTGAGCGAACAGAAAATCTGGATGAGACGTTTCCCTAACGGAGCTCATGCATGTGTCCAGGTCAGCATGGCAGTTGTTGGCGAACCCATGCCAGCTCCCATCCCTGGACTTCTGGCACTTGGAAGATGGAGCTTAGATGAAAATCAGCAGTACACGTCGATGAGCTCACCTCAGAAGGTACGGGGCTGGGGGTTGTGAAAATGCAGAAGGTGGCAGTTATGTAATTTTGTTTGTCCTACATGGCTGAACTAATTCACCCCAGCCCATCACACTGAGCTTTCAAAGGATAAGCAGCAGACACATCCTTGGTCCTCAAGGGCTGCAAACATAACACATGCGCGGACTCAAAATCATAAAGGAAATATGAAGCTCCTGCCAGGAGAAGAACTTCTTAACACATGCACAACTCAGACTAGGGAATGTGTCCTAGTGTATGCTTCTGGAAAAGTTAAACCAGCTATTATGAGGTTATTGACAAGTCGGGCCTGTACCACAATCTCTACCTCGGTGAGCTTTACTGTTCATTCTATGACAGTGACGAAGTGGAAACATCGTGCTTGATGCTACATATTTCTCTCTCTCTCTAGCGACTGGAGCATTCTTGGGAAGGAACCCAGAAATGTCGAGTCCTACAGTAAACAGCACGACAAGGTCCGATGTGTAAGTAATTTGTAGCATGATTCATATGGAAATCTGTCTACTACTGTATTCTGGAAATTAGCTTTTCATTCACAAAAATATGCATGAACAACAAAAAAAATCTTTTGACTGTTTTTAAATTTGGAGAAGGAAACAGTGATTTTAGACTTTGAGCTGGATTAAGCTATGTAGGGTGGAGGGGAGTAAGTTTTAAAGGAAGATGGCAGCCAATTTCTTTTGTTATTTAACTTTTTATTTTTTCCAAGAACAGTTAACATTTACTAGGCACCGATTGGCCTCAGTCACTTGCATCTAAAGAGCAAAGCTAAGTTACCCACAGCCCGTGTTCTTTTAAATGGTTAGCCTTATTTCTTAGCTCTGTTAACCACTATTCTAACATTTGCTTCAAGTTCAGTTTTAATAATCTAATCCATCATTGTCTACTGCTCCCTGCCACGTGAACGAAAAAAGTTTGGGGAGGAATAAGGCGAGCAGTTTACATTTCCTGTGGATACTTCAAGTAATTGGCCCCAAAGTGAAATTATTGAGTTGGCCATGGTTTATTGTGTTCTGAGGGCATTACACATGGAGGGAAAATGGACCTGTAGAAAGAGCTGGGATTCGAGAATGTCCGAATGTGTGAAAATCCTATAACTTCACTTCACCTGGCCTAATATCCTGAGTCACTAGATGGTCAGAAAAAGAGTGTGAAGGGAACAAACTGATGTACATTTATACTGAAAACCAAAAACAAAGTCTGTGCGAGATGAACAGCAAATGAAAGAGCTTTTGTCAAAATGAAATCTCGCACAGGTCATCTCTATACATACGTGGACATACGCACACCCACACACGCACAGACGCACGAGCAAGAATGTGTATTTTGTAAGATTAGGTCCTTGGAAATAGACATTCTTAGCAAATATGGATGACAGATCAATTGTAATTTATTTTCTTTTAACACTGTATCATCATAAAGAAAACTGGTAGAAATGAAAAAAATCTATTTCAAATATCTACATCTAAAATTGTAGGCAGTGAAAAAGCACTTTGTTGACAAGGAGTGTGGAATGATGTGTGTTAATTGTCAGAAACTGCTGAATGCCTTGCTTAGTTGCCACAAACAAGTTCACATATCAGAACGAACAATACTGCTAAATATTCCTTTTTTTTCCCATTTTTTTTTTTTTTTTGTTAAAACATACTGGGAGAAAGAAAAGAAAAAACTGGAAATCCGTACATCTTTTAAAAGTTTGAGATTGAAGCAATATTTAGAACCATAGATGAGGAAACACAGCGGCATTGGTGTAATATACACAACGCGCTTCTCTTCTTTAATCTGTAATGTACATCAAATACTTTACAACAACGCATTAACAAAAGGCAAGAAACGTCTTGCTGTACAGAGGAACCCTGATGCGATCTGAAGCCTAGAATCACAACAGATGGAGAGTAAACGAAGCGTGAGAAGCCGTCCCTCTGAAGTGTGTGACCTGTGCTGCCTCTGTGCCCCGCCACCAACGCCACCTCCTCCAGCCACGTCCGATACACACCACATCCAACACTCCACAGCTCAGACTAGAAAGGGGCCGTGCAATGCTGCCTTTAGGATCACTTTAGCTTTCTATGGACGTCCGAGTTACCTTTCGATTCTTTCAGCTCTCTAAAATAGCTCTTAATACCTCCTTACTGGTTATCACAGCCTTGCTATGGAACAGGCTTTAACAAACTAAATTTGCGGAAAAGAAAAAAAAAAAAAACAAGAAAGAAAAAGAAAAAGAAAAAGCAATGTCTCGTGGTATGCATGCACATGCACTGTTCCCGGGGCGCCTCGTGCCGCCCGCCCCTCACACCCAGGAGTCGGGGGAGGCGGGATAGTGGCTGGTCTCATAGTTCAGTTCGCTGTAGGGACGGGCGGCTGAGTAGAAGTCGACGTAGTTGCCGGTGGACTTGAGTCCCAGGTGCATGGTGTACTCGCTGGCGGGAGGGCGGTGGTGGACCTGGTCCTCGAAGAAGGACTCGTCATAACTCCTCGTGGAGTTCTGAAACGGCTGGTAGGCCTCGTAGTCTTTCCTGCTGGGCTCCTGCGGGACGGGCTGTGCTGAAACCTGCACGGGGGAGAAGATGCACGTGGGTTGGCGTGTTTCCCCTCGATCTGAGCTTCCCTGTTGCCCAGGCGCTCGGCATGTCCCCTCGGAGTCGGGGCCGTGACTGCTACCCAGGCCTGCACCAGGGCGACCCTTCTCTGAAGACTCCTAAATATCGATTGCCATTCTTTTAAAAAAATTGGTCCCTGGGCCCACATGCTACCCTTTTAGAGAAACGGTTTTGAAAAATTAACATTGTGGTAGAATGCACATAACATTCACCGTTTTGAACATTTTAAGTGGACAGTTCAGTATCACTCGGTACATTTGGTGTTGTGCAAATATCGCCACTATCCGTTTCCATGACACCCCATCTCCTTCCCCGACCCCCTAAGCCCTGGCGACCACCGTTCTACCTTCTGTCTCTATGATTTGAATATTCTGGATTCCTCATGTAAGTGGAGTCATACAATATTTGTCCTTTTGTGACTGGCTTCTTTCACTTAGCATAATGCCCTAAAAGTTCATCCGTGTTGTAGCACGTGACAGGATTCCCTTCCTTTTTCAAGGCTGAATAATATTCCACAGTAAGGAGATACCACATTTGTTTATCCGTCATCTGCTGATGGACACTTGGGTCGTTTTCACTTTCTGGCTACTGTGAATGATGCGGCAATGGACACTGGCGTACCAGTACCTGCTTGAGTCCTTGCTTTCCATTTTCTTGAGGTACCTAGAAGTGGAAATGCTGGCTCTTGTGGTAATTCTGTTTAACTCTGAGGACTTGCCTAGTGACAGAGCAGCTGCACCATTTTACTAAATAACTTTTTAAATTGGTATACGCTAGAAGCTACAGAAGACAAGTCATTTATTTTCATCTTTCCTGCATTTTCTCTATGACACCTAGGTGTCGCGATCCCAGACAAAAACACAGGATGTATAATGGTCACTCAGGCATCTCCCTGCCAGCACAGAGGCTGCAATCCACATCTCTCTGGCGGAATGGGCTTCCTGGTGGTAGGGCCATGCCGTCACACCTGCCTAAGTGACCAGGCGCCGCAGCCTTAGAAAGATACACAGAGAAGCGCGTAATGAAAAGATGAATCCATCACAAACATACTCTGGAGGACTAAGGTTTTCTAACTTGGTTCAGTTAAGAGCTGATGGAATTCAAGAGTGAAGTGGGATTATGAAGCCTTTGGTTATAACTAGTGGGGAGCAGTCTTCAGGGTTGCCTGCTGTCCCCCAGCCCACCTCATTGCTCCCTGTTTGCATGCTCATCCTCTGCAGGTTACTTACTGTCTGATAGAGGGGGGTTTGAAGGGTAAAGGGGCGTGGGGTGAGGGCCAGCCCCACAGCTAGTGCATACAGGCACACGCAAAGCTCAGCTCAAGTGCATCATCGGGGAGGAGGTCTGGTGTGAATGATGAAACAGCCTTAAAGAAACACGGTTTGATCACTTTTGAGCTGATTGAGTAATTTCCTGGTAATTTAACTAAAGTTTAGCACAAAATCGTCCTCCAGAAATTGGTCTTAGTTAATAGATAATGATTTGTAATTAGCACGTTGTGTGTAAATGGATGCTTCTAATGGCCTGCATATAATTCTTCTCTCAAGTATGTGAAACTCCCTCTTTTATATGTAATTGATTTATACTAGTAATCAACCTGTTCGAAGAAGAAGTGAGCTTCATCATAGCTGCCATCCAATATGTGCCATGCTCCTTGTTAAGGGTGGCTGGATGAATGAAGTTTCTGTCTACCTGGTCCATGCAGCACAGGCATGTTAGCCCAAGCACCTGGCCATGAGAGGGACAGCTGGAAGGAATCTGCAGCACCCCAATTAAACGATGCTAAGACCATGCCTACCAAATCACTTGGACAGGCTAAGGTGACCTTTGCTGCTTTCTGAAGAGCTGTGGGCTGCACTGGACTTCACTCCAATACTGCGCTGCTAACCAAGCGCAGAGGGATACAAAGAGTTACAGCTGGGAGGTTTGAAAAAATTCACAGGGAGGGAACTAGAATTTACTGTTTCTATTTCAGTAGAAACTATAGTCAACATTTAACAAATTCCTTTTTGTTTAATCTTCCAATAGTCACAAACTTATATGTATGTATCTTATGTATGTCTATGTCTGTCTATATCTACCATCTATCATTTACCATCTGTCTATCCGTATCTATTATCAATCTATCATCTATCTATCTTTCCCTCCTTCCCTCCCTCTTTTCTCTCTCAGCTTTTCCCTTCCATTCTCCCTTCTCTCTCTCCCTCCCTCTTGCCTCTTTCCTTCCTTCTTTTTTCCATCCATCCATCCATCCATCCATCCATCCATCCATCCATCCAATTCCTACTTCACAGATGAAGAAACTGAAGCTCAAAGAAGTTAAAAAACTTCTCTAGGGTGTCCTGTCTAGTGACGTCGCAAGGCCAGATTTTGAACATACCTCTGGCTGGCTCCAAAGGCCACATTCTCTGTCCCACACCAGCACAGGCTCAGCTGAGCCACGCTGGCCCAGCCTCGGAGGGCTGGCCTCACTGAGTTGACTCCAGGCTCTATGATAAGAAGGGAAACCAGCAGACAAAGGAGACCGAGAACAGGCGTGACCTCCTTGTGCTGGTCTTGGTGGCCCGAGGTAGGAAGTTTTCAGGGGAGTCACTTACAAAGCTTATGGCTCTCCTCCAAAGTGGCTGCTTCCTTCATTTTTCAAATGAATCTGTTTCAAATTTCTTATCGTTTCCATTTTCTCTGTCTGGTGGATGTTTTGGGATTGGGCACAAGCTTATTTAGCCTCTTATCTGAGAATTACCTTCTTCACTTCATCTGTACTGTTCAAAAAGTCCCATGTAAACCCTCCTAAAGGTTAGTTCTGTAGTTCTGAGACTATGTCTAAACAAACTATCCAAGACAGGTGACAAATGGCACTACCGCGTTTGCAGGAACTGAATTTGCTCACGGGCCTGGTGGTGTGGATGTCGGCTGCTACAGTACATTCACAGTGGAGGGATGCTGGCTGTCCTGTATAATGTGCTCTCAGGGAATATCTGATTTCAGTATTCAAGATTAGGTAGATGAAATGCCCCCAAATATGAGTCTTCCCCATAGAGGAGCTAAAAATGATGCACAGTTTGCATAATCTGGACTTCTTCGAAGGCAGGAGAACAATGTTCATACGTAGCAGTGGTATATTCTGAATTTGAGTGTCTGCTGTGGTCCAGAGAAGCCCTGGTACGCCCAAGGATGCGGAAGCTGCTGCCTGGTTTGCCTTAAGGCAGCATCTTCGCTGGGAAAGGGAGATGTGACCACTGGCTCCTGTGGGGATCACTGGAGCTCTGTCCTGTGGCTCCTGCCCCACCAAAGTGGTCTTTGCTGAACTTTTTCCTCAGTGGAATGTTAGTTTAAATTACGAAGGACATGGAGCGCATGCCACTTCTCCACCTTCCAGTCTCTTAGCACGACAGACGATCTTGTATTTATTCATCAAACTGGATTTATTTCTAACAGAAGGGGAACAGCTGCCCATTGCAGATCTTCACAATTTGCCCCACCGAGACGCACAGTGCAGGAGGCCACACTGTAAGGATGAGTGATGCTCAAAGTGTGCTCCCCAAACCAGCGGCACCGGCATGGCCTGGGAACATGTTAGCGACGTGAATCATTGGGCCTTGCCCCAGATCCACCGAATCAGAAATTCTTGAGTTGAGGTTCAGGAATCTGTGTCTCTATGACTCACGCTCAAATTTGAGAACTATTGGTATAGAGGAGGGAAAATGGGACAAGGCAGGAGGACTCCATGCAAGTCTTTGCCTCCTTCTAGCTGGGTGGCAAAAGGCAAACCTTATCCACCAGGAATGTCAGTGTCTTCATCTCTGAGGACAACTTCACCTGTCCTGACCACCTGGCAGTGAGACCGAGGATGCCAACTAGGAACTCACGATGCTATTTTTGTTGTTACTATAATAATTTGAATCCTAGTCATGAAATGCCAAACCCCTTTGTTTCTAGTTTATGAACAAAAATTCTGTTTGTAGCTGAATATATATAGTTAAATATACCATTTTTCTTTATGAATAGGGAATGGGTTGGTAGAAGCTCAAAAAAGTTTTTGAGGAGTTTAACTCTTTAAACAATGTCTGTGATCTGTTGACACCTGACATAAAAATCAAGGATTACAAACCTCATTTCACACTAATAGTCGTTTCTTCTAGCAGTCCTTAAGCTCGGGGTTCACTGAAAATGCGGACGAGTCCCATAGGAGCGCCACGGCTGAGCAGCCGGCCCCGTGGCTCTTCCTCCGCTGAGTCATGGAGAGCCTGGTTGACAGCTACTGCCCAGCCCCCGACCTCACTGCATCTCGCACCCGGGTTTGTCTCATTCCCAGCTCTCACTGTCTTTTGCCTTTTCTCAAAGATCCACCTGAAACCAGCTTCCCTCAGTGAATCGCTTCTTCTCTAAGATGAGTCACTGTCCAAACTCCGCCATGAAGCTCATGAGGCCCAGCTGGTGACTGGGACACCCAGGGGTCTTGAGCATCCAGCAGAGGATAAGCTTTGACACTGAAACTGAATGGACCCAGAGCATCCTCACTGGTTAAATTATTCAAATTGGCTTTTTTTTTTTTAACTAGCTGAGAGGTTGTGAGGTCACTCTCGGCCAGCAAAATTCCAGAAGCAAAAGCATCCCACCAGGAATGGCCGGCCACGCCCACGTGGCCAGAGACTCCGAATCATGGCCGCCGTCGACAAAGTCCTCTCCGAATCACCTGACTGGAAGAGAACCAAATCGTTTCCTCTTTCGACTGATAAGGATGGTTACATGTTATGCAGTTTCCCAGAAGGAAAGCTGCAAAAGTCAGAGCTTGTTCCAATAGCAGAGTCCAAAATAAGTCACACACTTTATTCTCTTCTCCCCAAGTTCACTGGCGTGTCACACTGATTTCCTTGAAAAATTTTAAAGGCGAAAAACAACTGTCTTTGACATTTGAAAATGTTTCTTGATGTTGGAATGGAGTTAACAATTTAATCGCCTACTTCCCTCTGCTGGGCCTGCTCAGGGAGTATGATGGCTCTGAACTATTGCCACAGGACTGGGCTCTGCTGGTGGCCCGCTGGCATCATCTCCCCCGTGCCAACAAGCGGTGCGGGGCTTGCTATCTATCCCGGCTGGGTTCCAGGAGCATCTTCCTGAGACCCTATGGCCTTGGCCTTCACACCCGAGTCGGGCGCATTCTGGGGCACCCTGGGAAAAAGCGACAGTAGGCTGTGCTCACCTTCGCAGCAGAGATGTCATCCTAGCACTGGCTTGAATGCTGAGAATAGGCTTAGGTGAAGCAACGGGGCCCCAGAACCCTGAGGGGTTGTCGTCTAAATCTAGGCTGCCGGCAGTCCTTCGGGACCTCCTGCAGCCACACTGTGTGATGCCAAGGACCCCGGGCCTCAGCATGGCATTTCTTCATTGCCATGGAGGGAGAAGAGCTGGTGTAGAATAAGCTGATTTTGGTCATGAGCTTCTCGTGACCTACCCAGACTAAAGACCATGCTTATGTTTGTGGGTACCAATCAGGGTCCTATCACACCCTGACAAGTTCACTTCCTACACCTGGTATTTGCAAAAAGAAAAAGAGTTGATCTCCAAAAACAGAGCTGGCATTTCCAATATGTTTTGTTTCTACTTCCCGTTACGTTTGGGCGGGCGTGTTGACACGTGAAGAGCTGGAAGCCACCCGGGTGATCTCTCTCTAGTGCTCATGCCCTGATTTATTTATTCATTGGCCTCTGCATTTAGCAATGACCAGAACTGAGGGAGGCCGTGCAGATGCTAACGATGCGTGAGGCAGGCCGGAGGGTCCAGGCATCCACCCAGGGGGTCGTCGCAAACACCACGAGCCTTCGGGAGTGGCTGTGCCTGCACTGGAAAATCACGGGCAACAGGATAACTCTTCTACCCACTCTCATTTCTCCTGTTGATGGTTGATGAGAGAAAAAAATAATTTCAGGTTGAGAAGCTTTTCACGTGCTCCTCCTTCCTCCTTCGGAAGTGGTCCCTCACGGGGCCTTCTGCCTGCTGGTGTGCGGGGGGTCTCTTTCCTTTTCAGAGATGCCACCCTGCTGGGCGTTGAGCATGTTCAAAGCCGATCCTTTGGTCTTCCGTGTTCATTTTCACCTGGATGTTATGGTCGAGCAAATGGGTTTTGGGTTTGTCTTTTCAGCTCGCCTTCCCTGAGGTATGGCAGGGGTCTGGGACATGAGCAGAAGCCAGTTCTGGCAACGGTTCCTAGCAGCCAGCAGCTGAGGAACGTCAGTCTTTCTGTGCCGACCACTGCAGCGGGGAGCAAGTATGAAGCTGTCCATCAATGAAGGAGCAGAGGCTGTGCCTTTTGGCTTTACTACAGTCCCCACAGAACCACAGAGAAAATAAGCCTTTGATGAATGTTTGCCGAATAAAACACACACACACAAACTTAAATCAGTTATTTAAGCATCTACCATCCTAGGGCTCTTTAAACTTGAACACGCACAAAAATTACCTGGGCATCTCGAAAGAATGCAATTCTGATGCAGACGACCTTGGATGGGTTGGAGTCAAGGCCGTAGACGAATCTCTTCTGCATTTCTAACAAGCTCCCGAGGATGCTGGTGCTGCTGGTTCCCCAGCCAGACTTTGAGTAGCAAGGCACTTAAAAATGCATGCTACTTAGTTGCTCATATTGAAGTTGATGTGTCTATTTCATTAGTAATTATCATGCACAGTGAATGCTTTCTTCCGAGGCAGAGCTGGCTGGGTTATAGGGTACTTAATCCCTGTCTAGTAATTAGACAATTTGTCTCGTAACCAGCATCCTGCACTTGTATAAGTGGGGCTTGCTTTTTTTAAGTTTTGCATCACCATAGAAAACCTGCTTTCCACCATGAGATAAAGCATGTGGTCAATGACATCTAAGATCATCGTCAAATCCGAGGCTGCTCCGATGACGGCCACCGCCCACGCGGATGCTGTGTGACGTGGGATGGAGAGCAGCAGGGAGCGTTATTTCCTTTTTTGGTTATTTATGTGCACGCTGCACAGAAGTTAAGTTATTTTTCCCATTCCAGGACAGTTGACATGAGTCGAAGGGGAAAATAAACACCAACTCTGTGTCTTACCTGGTTATGTTTGTCTTCAGCAGGTGCACCATACGAATTCCTATACAAGGTTGAAATCCCAGTATTTTGAGCTGAAAGCAAAGGAGAAACAAAAGTATTAGGAAAGACAGCAAAATTTCAAATGGGAGCGGATGGTTATCGAGGCAAGTTGTTGCCCCAACGACCTTGGTTTCTCATGGACCGTTCCAAGTGGAAGAAATTCTTGGGCCCTGGACACTTCATTTTGCATACAGATATTAAGAAAGAAAACAGTTCTTCTCTAAAAAAAAAATCCCACAGTATGTCAGCCTCTTGCAGTAATGTTCAGATTGTAGACAGGGTCAGGGCAGGTGTGACAAACAGATGGTCATTTTGCAAGGTTTATTGCCTTCCTTTCTGGTGAAAACTGGCGGATAATAAAAGCTTGTCACCTGCGCTGAAGCATGCAGGAATCTGTATCGGCAGCTTTGTTTTTAAGCTGGAGAATGATGAGAATGAAATTTCTAATTTGAGCTCACAGAAGTGCTTGGTCATCTTTCAGACAGTTCATTTCTCAAAGGCCCGAAGGGCAGGAGGGAAGCGCCCTGTGCGTCGAAGCAGCTGTGGCTTTGGAGTCCTGTGAGACACAGAGATGGTGGCCCCCACTCTGTCTCGTGAGCAGCCTGAGCTTCTAGTCACAAAAAGGAAGGTCTCCTTCAGTTGCCAGGTTAGGGTACCTATGTGTCCACTTCCTCACCTGGAACCCTCCAGGCTCAGGCCACAGACCTCGCGGAAGGCCCAGGGTGCCACACCCCTCTTGGCAACTATAGCCATAACTGAAGAAAGCTTTGAAAATGTTTATCAAGTGTCATTGGGGCATAAAACACCCTAGAGGTAAAGAAGAGATTACCTTTTGCTTCCCGTGTCTACGGGATGATGAAATTGGATGGCATGCTGTGCCTTCTCTGTATCTCATAGATATAGGCCATTCTAGACACTCATTCAGTGTGACCTATCATTTCGCCCATGATTATTACCAAAAGCACATAGCAGCGCTATAAGAAAACTCCTTTTGGGAAATTTTATTTGGGAAGTGAGGACTGAGAGCCCATTTTTGATTTTAAAGGCCACTTGGGTAAACTCTGGTCGAACACACATCACTGCTGTCTCTGTGTCACCGTGGAAACCACCACCTCCTGCCTGGACCAAAGCTACAGAACCCTCAACGGGCCAGCTTCCGCTCTGCCCAGCCCTGCCCCTCCACCCATCCCGTTCCCCACAGCTCAGCGGTCACTCTGTTAGACACATGAATTATGTCACTCTCTCTGCTTATCATACCTGCCCACCGGGACTGTGGTGGGAGCCGGCTCTTCATTCTGGTCTACGAGGCTTCGAATGGCTGGGCCTCTGCCTGGCTTTCTGCGGTGTCTCCCGCCCTTCTTCCAGAAGCTCCAGATTTGTCGGCCTGCTTTCCCGGCTCAAGCCCGCCGAGTCTGTACTTGCTGATCTTTCTCCCTGCAAACCTCTTCCCGCGGACCTTGGGCTGCCTCTGCTTGCCGGAGGTTACGGTTCCGCTCAGATGTCTCCACTATGACCACGTTGGTTAAAGTAACCTTGCCCACCTGGCAATGCCTAGCTCATTACCTTGTTGATTTCCTCCATCCTACTCAACTGTGTGCTGTTACCTGGTTGGTGAGCTTGTTCTATTGTTTACCTCGTGTATCACCTGCCTTCACCTACGGGAGCAGACACTCCGTGAAGACAGAGATCCGTCGGTTCTGCCATCTTTGTAGGTATTCCCAGCGTCTGGGACAGCGCTTGTCCTTGATGGAGGCCCACGGAATGAGAAGGGCTCCGTTTGCTGAGTGAACGAATGAACGAGCAAACCTTAGAAAATCTGCCTCTGGAGCTATAATGTGCTAATAGAAAATGTCGCTTCGGGAACAAGGTGGATTGTTTTTTTCTGTTAGAATAAAATGCATTTTTATCCGGTAGACCGTGCACTATTCAGGCTGGGCCTCTCTCCCTGTCACATTTGTGGCTTCTGAGCTACAGACGTTTCTCCTGGAAGCCTTTCCTCCTGCTCTTTGGCGTCTTCCCCTGTTTAGAGAAGACTGCAGAGCTGACACTGAACTTGTGGTCTCTGCAGACACACGCGGCGGACATCTTCACGGATGCTCTGCCCGTGTGTCTGAGCTCAGAGTAGACTCACAGGAAAATACCTCCCTTTTTTTTTTTTAAACAGGCTCCAATTTCCAACTGAATCAACACACTGAAGATGAGAATGGCTTCAAAAGGCATAAGAGAGACACCGACAAAAACAGAACCGACCGTTTGATGTAAAGGCGTGTGGGAAGCTCAGATGGGAGGGCAAAAAACCCCACTGAATTTTAAAGTCAGGCCGTGTCGCCGCTGGGATCAGATGGCCCTCCTGTGATGGGCGCTTCTGAACACGTAATGTTCCCAGGGAATCAGGACCGAAGACCAAACGGTAACAGTCCTGCACGCCTGGACGAGCTGCTGACTTTGGCTTTCTGAGGGCTCCTTTGTGGCAAAGCAACACTACAGAGGGGAGACATGTTAAGAGAGTCCATCTAAGCTGGAACATGAATCTAGAAAAAGTGGATGGAGGGAAGCCTGGAATAAAAACCCACGTGGATCTGTATTTCTCAGAGCTAGTAGCCGAGATTATAATGCAGGCAAAGAACTGCTTTCACTGCACAGTGTTCCTGTATTGCATTTCTAGGGGGAAGCATCCCATGGTTTTCCCACAGAGGGAAGAATGTTCTTTTGGGGAAAATAGGAGAGCATCTTCTGATGCCTTGGAAACAAGGAAGCGGTAGTTTCTCAGATATTTTTCAATGCCCTCAACTTGAAGTGTCCCTGGATTTATTGGTGAATGAGGAAGGACTGCTCTTGGTGCAGAGGTCGAAAGAAATCTGACCTGCACGTAAAAGCTGGAATGATGGGCGCGTGCAATAGAGCCGAAGAGCAGAGGCTGGTGACTCACCCTTTCCTTCCCGTGTGACGTGTTGGCTCCCACTTGGTTTGGCTGCGGGCTCGTTCACACCACCACAGAAGGTGGCAGGTCTCACCACCCACACCAACACCATGATCTCTACCACATCACTACCAGTACCCTCATTGTCACCGTCTCCTCCATCGCCACCATCACCGCCGCCTCTGCCACCATCACCATCATCACCTCCGTCAATGCGATAACTCGGTTTCATACGGTACCGATTGGCTTAAACAGAACCTTCCTGTGTAAACATATTATTCAGTAAAGATCTCGATATTCTTCTAGGTTTGCTACATGGCTAGTACTGACTTGCATTTTTAAGTAAATTAGAGCAGAGCTGTTTAAGCCTCTAAGTCAGTCTGAAAATTTACATATATCTCAATCCTGAAGTTGTCAAGATCCCTGCCATTTTCTAGGAAAACTAAACATCAGAAACGTCTTAGATTTTATTTTTCATTATGTGTAGAGGGCATGGTCATGTACCATTGGAACTACTTCACCAAAAACACACCCACATTTATAAGCCTTTTGAATGATTCCACTGGGCAAGAGAGCTGAAGAGAAAAGTTAAATAATGCGGTCGATTTCACAATTATTCTTGTAATTATCATCTCAGCTTGTCACCCCAGCCTGGCCGTGATGTGCCTGCCTACCTAGGGCCGTAATAATCACAAAATGAACGGGCCAGGTGAGTCCAGCATCGCACTCCCCTGGAGTAATCAGTACAGATTCGATTTTCCCCCAAATGACTCTCGGGACCGAGCCTCCAAATCCATACCTTTCTTTGTTCATGCTCATTTACAAGTGGGGCAGAAATCGGTGAATGAGAATCACGCGGTCTGTCCTACATAATGAGCTCAGTTCTCCACTCCGGAGATGTTTCGGGAGTAGGGCTGAGACATGCCCTGTGGGGTCTGTACAGGGAGGCAGAGTGCTGACCGGGGGCAGGGATCGTGAGTGTCCGTTTACTGTGCTGCTCTTTACGCGGCCGTGCGGAGAAACCACGGAACGCACTGCCTCTGGGGTAAATACGTACACCATTAGAAAAATGTTCTTAGGCATCCTGGTCTGGACATCTTAATGAATCATCCAATTCGTCTATTCTGCTTCTCTGCAGGTCTACCCCTAGATAATATTAGAGAAGTGCACCCCAGGCTTTTAAGATTCTTCTGATAAGAGGGTCTCAGGGTCTGTTTAGGACTGCGTCCTTCGCATTCCAGTTTTATGAACAGCCCATCTGGCCCTGTCCTGTTAGAGCTCTATTCCCCATGGCCTGTTTCAGGAGGGACCCAGCTCTACATCCAGGGAGCAAAGAAGGGTGTGGAATGCCATTAGAGATCCTGATGGCTCTGGCGGCTCTGTTTTCAAGGCACAACCTTCTCTACATCAGCGCCCCCAAGTCCTGCTTCTTGGAGGAGGGGGGAGGTTCGTGGACAGCCTGGAGGGGATGATGAATGTGAAATGCAAACCCCGCCCTAAGGACAGCTGTGTGGTTATTAGGCTTGGCAGGGCACGCTGGAGGGGTGGCAACGCGCACCGGTTTTGACCTCCACAGAGTCCCAGCCGATGAGAATAGAGAGACAATGAGTATAATTGGGGTAGCGAAGGATGAAGGGCATGAAAGATCAATGCCTCCGCAGGGAACCTGCAGTCATTGATTCTCATGAATCTTCTTGTGAGTCTGGTTTCAAGGCAAGAGGAGACCATGTCTCGACAGAAGTTCCACGCTTTTCTCTTAAATCCTCTTCCTCTGTTCCCCTCACGCCTCCCCTCCCCCACCATTCCCAGTAGGCACAGCCTGGCTCTATTGGGTCATGCCAGCTAAGAAGAGAGCTACGTGACTTCTCTCTCTAATTTGAGAGGCCATTCCAAGCTGGGCGA